ACTTTTGGTACAACATATTAGTTTTATCAGTTTAGCACACACCATACGACATTTACAGGGTATTAAAAGGCATTGAAATAACATACAAATAGGACAAAGCGCGTTACGAGCGCAGACAACTGTAATTCTTAATGGGGTTTTGTCATTTCAGCTTCGTGCCCAAAAATTGTATGCAAGCATCAGAGCGCTGGCTCCACACGCCCCCAGCTGCTGCCTGCCACTCCTTCTACTCTTACGCCTTCTCCAAATCCAGCTCACCTGGCTTATTAGTTTTTTTTCGACTCTGTTTTCGGGGAATTGTTGAACAGCCGCGCGCCTTGCGCTATGCAATATGAATTTTTTCGACTCAGGCGTAACGAATCGAACGCAAAAACTACAAATCGAAATGGAAATAGAAAAATCGAACAGCTGCTGTCATATTTTCATATTACAAAACACACACACACACACACACTCTCACATATTTGGCAATTTTCTTATTTAGCTAAGCGAGTGCACATATTTATCTAACCAGATTTGATTCTCAGGCAAAATGAAAAGTTTTTTGGCAAATCAATTTGCATAAAACTCGGCTCACACATGTTGAAATTGCATAAAGCGAAATATGCGGCAACTGCTAGAGGTAACTTTAGCTTTTTATTACGAATATGTTTAGGCCCAAAGCTTATGAACTTTTAGAATTATATTAGACGGGAGAGTAGCTGAAGACCAAATGAATTTTCAATTTTCTAGAGTCTTCAAAGTGTCATAAATTGGAGACAAAATCCGTCAAGAAGCTAGTCATTTAGCTGAGTATCATGGCTAGTTGACTAGCTAGCACATCCTCAAGACCTACTGAACCTGATTGGGATTTTTTCATTATCCTATTTATGTGCAACAGGAGCACCTACAAACTGTGTCAATTAATGTCAAGAATAAAATGTATAAAATATAGTAAGACACTGTAAACATTTATTAAAATATAATATTTAAAAAATATATATTTCTTAGTATAAAATATAAATTTCTTAAAATATTTTAATTAGCTTAAAAAAATGTTAATTAATTAGTTTTTACTTGAAATACAGTTACAAATCCAGCACTCACAGCCCAACTACAAAATCCACTCCCACTTCATTTCACATCTTAACATGCCCTAAAAAAAGAAATCATAAGAAAAAGGATACTCATTTTTTTACAGCATAAAATTCCATTGGACTATCGCATTATCGGCTGCGGTCGTAAACTATTTGCAGCAATTATCTCGGAAAAGTTCAGTCGATGCCTTTGAGGAAATATGCGGCGAATTAATACGAGTTTATGGAGCCAAGGAGTCGCGCAGCCAAAGGGCAGGAGCAGCAGGGGAGCAGCAGGGGAGCTGCTCAGCAAGTTGGCCCAAGCCAACCCTTTGGCCGTGTTGCCGTGTGCCCATTTGGCCCTTGCCGAATGAGTTCGCTAAGCGCAAGTTTCGCTTAATTTATAACGAGGATTACAATAAACAAACTAATCTACGGCAATAAACACTAAAAATCCCCCAAAGTGCTGGCCATTCGAGGAGCTCTGGAATCGAGCATTGTCACCATTCGCCACTCCGGCATATGGCGCGGCCCGTCTCCTTTTTATAAGTTAAATCGCAGCAATCCTTTCGGCTTTTAAATATGCCATTTCCGCCGTGAGATTATTTTTCGATATCGCCAACGTATGATTCGATATGTTTACGAGTGCCCAGTGCCCAATCTGCACAGTGCGGCGTTCCCCCACCGTTCCTGCACCGGCAGATAGGCATCGCGGCTCAGCGAGCTCAAGTCAGCCGGCTGAGGTAGTTGCCCAAGTGCGTGCCTCATCCGGTCGATCCTTTTTTTTTTCTATTAACAATAAATTTGTGCGATTTTTATTTGACCATCAGTGACTTGGGCTTCCAGACTTGAGGCTTAACTGCGTGGTAAACATTAACAATCAACTTTTTATGAGGGGCACCCTGACAATCCTTATTCTGTTGGCAAAAATCTAATTTGAGTAGAGATGCTGAAAGGAAATTGACAGTTGAAGAAAGGTAACTAAAGACACTAAATAATAAGACTATTAATTTTAATTATACAAGAAACTTATAATAATATTATTTAGAGTTAATTTCAGAGTAGCTAACGTAAATATATTTTAATATAAATATTTTAATACAAATAAATAATATTTAATAAATAAATCAAATCAAATTATATAAATCAGTTTCGGTAAATATTTGAATATATTTGGGTCAAATAGTAGTAGTAGA